TTCTTCCATCATGTCCGCCCAGCTTGTGGAGGCTCGCGGATGACGGATATCGCTCGTAGCAGTAGCAGCCGACAGGCAGGGGTCCTGACTGTTCGTTACTGCTACTCTCAGCCTCCTTTCCAGGACTTTCTCTGGCATCAAAGCACAGTGTGGGCATCCCTGAGGGTCCGCCAGTGAAGCCTGAGCATGCTTGGCACCCATACAGACGATGCACATTGGATGAGGGTCCCTGCCCGAGATGGTGGCACCGCATGATGCGGGGCACGGGCGGGATGCAGCCTCTTTAGCCTTCGGCTCCGACCTTTTGGCGGGAGTAGGAGCCGTAGACATGGTTAGCGGAAAGGGGTGAGACTAGGCTACACCAGGCTCGTCTCGACACGTTAGCCCGTAAGTAACTAGGACTAGCAGCGGGTGTTAAATCCGATCTAGTCGCGGCGGGAGTCAGCTCGTCGTGACACGTTGGCTGCACTCCGCTAGCCAATATCGTTAGCAACTTAATGCTAACCGAACCCTACGTCGACCAACAAGCTAATGCTAGTGAGACGCTAATGTGGTTCGTGGCCTGCTAACAAGTTAATGCTAGCCGGACACTGAACGAACAGCTCGCCGTAACGCGTTAGCCCGAGTCACACAACGTCGGCTACCTCGCTAACTAAAACCAGGAACCGCTGGGACAGCTCGCCTGACGCGGTTGCTGTTCCACAGTGCAACTCTAAGTACACTTCTTTCGAAGGACTTACTCAGCACGATCCAAACTGGAACCGGAAAAACTGCGTTCGGCGACGTACTCCTACACGGGACGCCTGAGAACTGTTAAGCAGCTAATCAAGTTAGCCTGGATGCGCTGAGGGAGCTCAAAGTAGTTTCTCACGGGAAGAAAGCAAGAATGAGTTAGGAGGAGCTGGTCGGCCGTGTTAGTACGAGGGGGCGGAGCCCTGAGCACGGCTCGACAGGTCTGTCATAGACAGACGTGGTGTCATTGGAGCTTCCGTAGTTGGTCACGCCGAGGCGATTCCCATAGTGAAACACCGAGCGAAGTTAGAAAAAGAACTCAATTAAACTAGCTACTGGTTTATTTATTTATTTTTGTTTTTAAATGGTACAGCTTGTCCCATTGGTCCAATGCAGCATGAAAGCTGAAATAGAATTTTCTTATTTTTTTTAAATTAAAATCTTAATGTTAAAAAGGATTAAATGTTTATATTATATAGTATTATATGTTTAAATGTGACTTCAGATTTTAAAGGGTGAATATAGATATAGACCCTGCTCTATAAGACCGCAGAACATACTGTTGACATAATTGATTCATGTAGTATGTACTTATTAATTTCGTTGTAATATACATTATCTTTTTGTTCTGAACACAGACAACAATGTAAATCTGAGCTTCTACTTTTTGTGTTTTTACTAAAGTAGCGCTTATAACACTGTGACATAAATTACTGACACGTTATTGTATCACTATAAACAGAGATCCTGCAGACACATTTTAATTCTTTGAAATGATTTTAGACTACCTCAGCAACACGTGGCCACATTCCAGTGAAATACAATGACACGGGAGACTTTGTTTTAACTTTCAGGATGAACTTTTCATATGCTGTGCTTTCTCGCCTACTTACGTTATTGTCCCTCTGACGTCCTTATGAAATATTAATCCAAAACCCCAGAGTCATTACAGACTGTTTCTACCAGTGCTGTGTGGGACACTGCATGACAGTGTTGATGATTCTGCAGCACGACGCCATGACACTTCCGCATTTGTCACCGTCCACTCAGTTCAGGTGGATCAAACCTGCGCAGAAACATACGCATGTTCACCACTACATTTAGATCGACTTATGTATATATATGAAAAATGTTATTTTACTGACATATAAATATGCTTTGTTATAAAACACACCAAATGCGATGATCTGCAGTAGCTATTCACTGATGCTCATAATCATAAGTAAACGGAAGAGGCCGTTGTTCGCTCCTATGCGCAGCTGTGAGTAGGTCGAACACAGCTGAATCACTTTGAAATTTATTAAGATCCCTTAATAATCTCATAATATAATACTGTTATAGATTATATAATTGAACTTCATTTTAGGCAGCAGGGTGTGAAAAGGTTCTCCTGACCTGTAATTGTGTAAATACATAATATAGAATGTATAATATAGAAGATGCAGAGAAGGATGAGAGAAAGACAGAGCAGGAAAGGACAGACTAATAATACCAAATTGTAAATTTGGTATTTGGTCCATGCAAAAGTCTTGACTCACCCCTCATTTCTTTATATTTTGTTTCCAAGAAGCCAGACTTTCTGCTAATTTTTAAGTAGTCTAGAGCAAGAGTTTCCTGGGCTTTCTGAAGGTGATTCAAAGCTCTCTTTTTTTTGGAGATCTGCTGCTTTCTGGTTCATTTTCAGTTCGGTCTGTCTGTTATTTGTAGCCAAAACACTTGAACCACTATTGTGTTTACACATAACAGACCAGTTAGCAAAGAATCGTGTTTCATTTGGCATTAAATTTTAAATTGTGTCTTTAGGTACTTTGTTACTAGTTCCTGTTTCTTTTGTTGAATCTACAAAATATGCCAAACATAACACAGTTTGATAAACATAAAATACTATTATTGGGAGTCAGCAATGTGGTTCCCAAAGAAGGTGACAACCTGGCATATCTTAACATGGTGTGGAGTGTGTCCTTAAGAAATTTGAGGAAACTGGACAAGTGAAAGGCTGAAGAAGTAAGATAAGATAAGATAAGATAAGATAAGATAAGATAAGATAAGATAACCTTTATTAGTCCCACATGTCAGAAATTTGTTGTGTCACAGCAGAAAGTGGACAGTGCACAATTACAGTACCAAAAAATAAGAAAAACCCTGGAATAGGATAAGATAATAAGAACAAGATACTATATACAACAGAATAAAATACTGCGAAGTCTTTGTTGTGGAGTCTGACAGCAGTGGGAAGGAAAGAGGGGTACCGCAGCTTGCCACTGAAGGAGCTGTTCAGTGCTGTTAGAGTCTCCTGCATGGGGTGGGAGATGTTGTCCAACAGGAATGACAGCTTAGCCACCATTCTCCTGTCACTCACCACCTCCCCTGGGTCTAGAGGGCATCCTAGAACAGAGCTGGCCCTCCGATTCAGCCTGTTCAGTGGCATACTTAAAATACTATCTACTGCAGACGAGTTCAAAGAGTCGTGTCTTGAAGAAACAAGACGTTACTGAAGAAGTGTGGAATCATCTTGCCAGAGAATGGAACAAAAAGCAGCCACCATCCAAAGAACAGCTTTGGATGTCCTTCCAGAATCCTGGAGAGCTATTCCTGAAGACTAAATCAATTACAATGAAACTACCTAACAGACTGTGCTGAAGAATAAAAATGTTCATTCCAGATATTGACTTTCAAGGTTGATACAAATTATACAGCTTCTGTTTTTGCATTATACTGAATTTGGGTTCCCAAATTTAGTTTAAGATTTTGAACATCACACTATTTATATCAGTATAGCTCCCATGTGGCCACATGAGGATTAACAGTCTTTACATATAACACGTAATGTGTAATTCGAGTTTTGCAAATGTGCTGAGAATATTTCATCTATTCAGAGAAAATGCCAAGTTGCTAATAAAACTTTTTATGGAGTTTGTTCATAATTTGGTGGACACAGATTCTCCCAGTATGCGGACTGAACATCTGTGTAACACATTATTCTGGGAGCATCCGCTTATGTAAATGTAGTAATAGTATATTCCTCCTAGGGGTGCCACAGACTTTTGGTAACCTGGGTCAAACAGTGCCTGGTCCCTTTGATAAGGGAAGGACCTCTCGGCAAATACTTGAATGAGTCTAGAATAAATTTACAATATTTGTTTTAAAAACACAACTCAAATATGCCAATTTGTAACCATAACATGGGGCCAGATTCTGCTTTCTCTACACGCACACCTACTGCTCTCCTAAAAAACTGGTTATTCCCATTTTTGAAGCAGGGAAGGTTATTTGGACAGAGGCTGTCATGGCATGACTAATGATGGATGATTGCAGTTTAATTATACTCTAGGGGTATCACTTATCTGTGGCTGTCTGGAAATAAATGAAGCTTTTCAATATGCCACACAGTGTGTGGAATTAAGGCACTATATCTTTGTCATTTTTTTCGAAATAAAACACAGTGAAAGGACTTCACTAGCACTATGAATTCATCCCTTTGTTATCTCTCTTTAGCCTACACTCATGTCTATTGTTTTAGTAGCAGATTATATGCATTAATCTGGGGAGGGTCTCTTTAATCTCTGATGCAATCCTAAATTAAATTGTCCAGTGAGGTTGAACAAGCACAAAAAAAACAACAAAAACATCCCACAGAAAATGAATGCAAGTGGAAATCTGATTACTCAGGACTTAGATAGTGGCATCCCCCACCTCCGAATAGGCCAGAAGGAGATGCCCTGTGGAGTTGGTCCATATGGCATGACAGTTGGCACATGTATGTTTTTTGAGGTCTTGACAGGACTCTGTGTAATTTTATGGGCCACCACTCACAGTGTAATTTGTTTAGAATAATGTGTGGCAAGTTGAGTGCGCAAAAAGCAGTTATTCTTTCTACCTTCAGACTCCCAGAGCCCAGACTTTCTCCATATCTGAGAGGTGACATTTATGTTGGCAGTTCAGTGTTCAGATTAGAGTATATTTGGATTTTGTGCTTCGGGGCAGATTTACAAGCGAGTGATGTGATGTGCTGTGCACGGTTGGCTGGCGAGAGCTCCGATGCTGCCGAGGTACACTGAGTGTCTCGCTGCGGTCACACTGCAACTGGAAAAATCTTCTCTTTTTTTAAATCCCCCCTTTCCTTCTTTCAGCTTTTAATTCATCCTTTATGGGTGCAGAGGAGTCAAGTTATCATCGTGCAGCGCCCAGAGCGAAAAATGAGATTGGGAGGGGGGGGGAGAGAGGGAGGCAGGAAGTGGGAGGTGGGGGGTTAGAGTGTTTGTGTGACACAGAGAGAGAGAAACAGACGGAGAAAGAGGAAGAGAGGAGGCTGTGTGTTCGTTTCACCTCCTAATCAGTTTTCCTGGAGGATCTATCATCGGCTGAACGATAGCAGGCAATTAGAAAGCGAAATAAGACGACCTTCTACCATCTCAAATTTGAGCCTCATACAAGTAAGGAATTTTTTTACATTATTCTTCACATTACATTATTCTGAGTCCCAGAAAATGAATCAATTTATTAAACAAGTCTATTTACAAGTTGTTGACATCAAATGATCTTATCCTGGGTGTGTGTGTGTGTGTGTGTGTGTGTGTGTGTGTTTTCTCCAAATATATTTGACATGAAGTCAGATGAATGCAGCAGATGCTGGAGTTTTATTTACAGATTGTTATTCTTTTGGTGTCAACATGCATTTTTCCCCCCTGCCAACTTTGGGTATTTATTAAATCCCACCAATGACATTTTGCGTGCGACTGCGAGGACATTTCACATGGCAGCCCTGACTGATTCGTGTAAAGAGATTGGGCGTCATTCTGGTAAATGTCAGTGCCAACTGTGCATCGCTTCAAACTACTTTAACGAAGAGATAATATTTCCATTTTCATACCCGGCGACTGCCTTTTCAGCATCCCATTTTAAGAACTAAAGCGAGAAGGTTGCGCCTTTTCCTCCCCTCTCGCCTAGCTATGTAAATGTCTTTTAAACTATTCTCCTCAAAGAAGAAGAAGAAGAAACGTAGCTTTGAACCAGAGAGCTGCTTTCTATGCCCTGCTCCATATGCATGATTACAGCACAACATCTGCGTGTGTGTTATGTACTTCAGCCAGAGATGTGAACTGTAGCCTAATTATGCACTTCTAGATGAATTATGAGTTATGATGTGTACTCATAATAATTATTAGTTAGACCACATTGCCTTATGTGGAGCAGCTGTCTGTTAAAGCTGGTAATGTGGTGGAGATAATTGGCTCACACTGGTGTGTTTTTTTCTAAGTGAGAGAAATGTAATTGTGTGAATGGTATAACAACCTGAATTTGAACTGTGTTCACATCTCTGCCATCCAAAAGTGGAGCATATGCAGACGCACGGGGAGCTTTGATGACTTGTCCTGAGAGAATCTTCTGTTGCCCCAGTTTCTATCTCTGAAAAAAAAGGCACACTATGGCAAGAAAAGAGAACAGCAGCTGGAAAACAGACGCGTGGAACTGCACGTGCACGGTGCGGCTCCCTGCCCCGGTTGCCCGTGTGAACGAGCCATCGCACAAATTTCACAGTTCACAGGTTTTAATGAGCTACCGCAGCCTGTCCATCACACTGACGGGTGGGGCGCACCTTAGCAGACCCGGCAATCAGACAATGACTCTAAACCAGGCAATTTGTAGGATCACAGGGAGCACAACGGGGGGAGTTATTTTTGAACACATATTTGCCACGTGCTCACTGTGCCAGGGCTAATAAGAGAAATATGCAAAATGCTGCTTTTGGTGTTGAAAATACTGCAAGAGATCAGTAAATATACTGTAGCTGTGGAGGAGACTATTGCAGTAACACTAGACTGATGAAAACTGCAAGCAAGCTGGGATAAACAGGAGCACTGTGGACACACTGAAGAGAGTTACCATCATTTAAGAGGAGGGTAGGTGACAGTTAATGGGACAAACACAGGCTGGCCAACAGATTGCTCCCAGCCTGACACTCAAGGCTATGTGCAGCAGCCTAGATCGAACTGCTGATGGGCAGCTCAGGAAATATGATCATACATCACCTGCTACAGATGCTTAAACCTCCCTGCTTTCCTTGAGCTGAAAGGAGTCGCGTCGCTTGCAGTTTTGAAAAGGAGCAGATATCAGCAAGGAGACAGAAATGTTTAGAAAGTTTTCCCTTTTACGTTTGGATGCCTGCTGACGGGTGCAGAAAGGTTTTTGTTTGTGACCCCTTCCTTGCGAATTACAGGAGAAGATTGAGGGAGGCAGCGAGACGTGTGGTTGCTGAGAGACTGCTGTAGGTGGATTATGAAATGCAGGAGGGGGGGAACAGGGGCCAGTCACTCAGCTGGGAGCGTATCGAGTTGTGCAATGATGGGAAATGTCAGTTAAGGGTGGGGGGGGGGGGGTGGGGGGGGGGGGGGGGGGGGGGGCAGTGAAGAAAGAGCTTGGACACAGATCTCTAAATGAAAGGTTAATTTCATTCAGCTGAGGTGTTTTGTTTTGAACTGTTGTACAGTGGCACGGTTTAATCTCTTAGCAGATATCCCCCACCCCCACCCCTATCTGGGGCACCAGTATTACATCCCCTTATTACAATCTAACTCAGTGCTTTTATCTCTAATTCTAATGGCAGATTACAGACATGGATGCTCCCCTTTCGACCCCCTGTAATATCCAGATTTGTGAGGTGACCTGCGACTCCTTCCGGATCATGTGGGATATGACCCCCGAGGACACGGCCAGAGCCACACACTTCTTCATCGACTTAAGCCGCAAGGCCAACAGGGACCCCAACCGCTTCAAACACAGGGTCTGATCATTCTGTAATTCCAGCATGACCTCACATACCTTTCCCCCACCTTCTCCCCGAAGGCAGCCTGCTCCGTATTGGTGTCATCTAGACTCATGCTCCAGATTCACACCGGTCACAGTGCTCGTTTTCATCATCCGTTTACTGTGCGTCATTTCCTAATTAACAGCAGGCAGCACGAACGAGGCAGGAAATCATTTGATTTTCATCGAAGTCTGCTTTGCTGAGCAGATGACTGCCTTACACGTTGTTACTCGGAACACAGAAAACTGTGGTTGTGCCCTTTCAGTCACTTCCAATACAAGCGAAAAGGAAAATGTGTGCAGTCAACAGCTTCGGGCCAGTGACTCACTTGCACATTGTTTCTTTTATTATATATTTTTTTGAAAGTGGACAAAACCTGACAAATTCAGCTGCAGCATGGAGACGTATTTTCATGTTAATTCCTTCCCGTGTGCATGGTTAAATTCATTAATTTAAAAGATTTCATGAAACGCAGATATAATGTGACAACAAATCTTTTTTTAGTTTTATCTTTAATGTTGGTCAGAGTCTATTAATCTTGAGCATAGGGAAGAGATGTGTAGCTACCAGCTACTTTCCATCTGCTCTCTCTGGGTCATATTAGATATATAAGACATATCCTCATTTGCTCTGAGCCATGATAGCGGCTCAGACCCACAGAACGGCGGGAACTCCTGTTGAACTTAGTTCCACTTTAAGTTAATCTAAACATTATTCCAGCTATGCAGACTTTTCAGTGTGAGCAAGATAGATTGCTGACTTGGATGAATTTTAGAAATACTCATGCAGTGTGCAGTTCCACAGAAGCTGGTGAACTCCTTTGTGGTTACCAGAACCTCTATGTTACTCATACAGCCCGGTCTGATTTTCATTCAGCACTGACGTCCCAATTAAAGACAAACATAACATGACTCAACACAACAGCAGTTCATATCTGTACCTGAAGTGCTGAGTCACATCTTACAGTGCAAGGCGGAAAAAGTTGTGAACTCTTCACTTCATGAACTTGTTTTATCTCCTTTACCAGCGAAAACTTCATCGCTCATTTCCTGTAGCTGCTTGTGAGGCCTTTGTGGACTCTGAGATTTCATGATTGTGCATCTTCTATTCAGGTCACAGTCACATCTCAAGTGGGCTAAAGTCATGATTTGGCCATTCTGAAACCTGCAGCTTTTCTGTGGTTCATTAACTTGCTGTTGATCATCATCTTGTTAAGTCCGCTCTCATATTGACTTCTGTCCTGAAATTCAAATGGAAATTTTCTTGGTCCGCTTTCAAATTAATATTTTTTCCCTCAGTGTCTGCAAGCTGACAGGCACTGTGGTAACAAAGCAGCCCCAAATGATGATGAACTTCTACCAGCACTTCCAGCACGTTTGACCCCAGATGGCTTTTAGAGAAGTCATTATCACATAGGGTGACTTCTGTGCCCCCGCCAGCACTATGAGCTATTACTCAGACATTAAAAATAAACTGTGGCATAATTAAACTTAAACTTAATGATGAAACCCTACTAACTCCAAAGACTTCAACAGCTATGCATTCCCTCTTGCCTGCTCCACACATCCAAAGCCACCACAAGCCTTATTCTCTATTTATACATTTCAAAACGTATTTTTTCCTTCCAATCATTTTTTAAATTTTCTTCCCTTTTTTTCTCGTGTTCTTTTTAATAGTTATACTGATGGCATGCCTGTAGCCTGAAATAATGATAATGAAAAGAAACAGTTGCTATCTCCGCAGATGCAAAATGCCGACTGTAATTATGGCATATTATTGCAGCACGCATTCACAAACTAAAAAGTGCTTTTGTGAAATCAAGGCAGGCTGAGCGAGCTCTTCTTAGATGGAGGATATGATTTCTCTCTGATACACGAAGAGGCACAAACAAACTTGCATCAGAGATGTTGCTATGGATATATGGACCTCTGAGCCTGTAGTAATTAGCTGTGCTGCTTAGAGGCCTTGGTCAAAACGAAGCTGCTGTTTTGATTAGATGTATCCTAGTTACAGCAGCTGGGGCTTAAAAATGGAATCTCACACTAATAAAGGCAAAGTTTATGGAAGGAAATGCTTGACTAACAATTGCATCTGCATCGGCTTTGAAATGTAAATGATGCATGCGGCAGACCGTTAAAGGCTTGCATCCTGTACCCTGGTGTCACCTGCTTCCTGCTTCATCCTGCAGGACGTGCCGACCAAGCTGGTGGCCAAAGCCGTGCCTCTCCCCATGGCAGTGAGGGGACACTGGTTCCTCAGCCCGCGGACAGAATATTGTGTTGCTGTTCAAACTGCTGTCCGACAGCCAGATGGTGATTACTTGGTCTCAGAGTGGAGCCAGGTGGTGGAGTTTTGCACTGGGGGTAAGACATGCACTCGTGTGTTGTGACTAAAATAACAGTGATTATGCATGCAGTCACACATCAGAGATCTGACCAAAGTGATACAAGAGAGGAACAAAAAAGTGCAGCGCACAAAAATGGCAAGACAACAACCCACAATTCTGTCTCAGCACCAGATAGTCATTAACCTTTGAAAGTAGTGTAGACTTCAAGTAGTTTCACAGCTTCAAAACTTAAACTTTGCAGACTACGCAATGGAGCACCTACAGCAGCTTCTCGGCAAGGCCAAGGGCTCAGCGGGGAGGCTGCTGAAATTCTCTGTCTTTTATCGCAACCAGCACCCAGACTACTTTGATTATGTCAGGTAGGCACTTCACTTTTTCTCTTTATTATACATTCCCATATGAACGGAGTGCAATAACTCATTTTCCTTTTTTAATGTATGGAATTAGAAAGGAGTGTGGAGGTCTGATGCGTCCAGCCCTCAAAGACACCAGTGGGAGTCACGGCTCACCCATCAGCGGCAAACTGCATGGAGTCTTCTTCAGCTGCAACACAGAGTTTGATACAGGGCTCCCTCCCAAAGACTCCCCGTACGGACCCCTGCGGTTTCAGATCCCGGCTGGACACCTGCTGAACCCCAACATCTGCCTGTATTTTGCAGACTTCTACTGCATGTACACGGCCTACCACTATGTGGTGCTGGTGCTTGCCCCTGTTGGCTCAGAGGGAGATGCCTTCTGCCGCACCCGCCTCCCTATGCTGGACTTGGCTTCCAACCCCTTTTTGACATACACTGCCTCTCAGAGACCCGGGGAGGAGCCCTTGTACTGCCACGCCAGCGACGTCATCCTCGAGGTGCTGTTCACCGAGCCGGTTCACTTGGATCAGGGCGGCGTGGAGCAAATCAGCGGGCACCAGCTTATGAGTCTGACCACCGCCAATGCCAAGAAAGACCCGAGCTGCAAAGTGTGCAACATCAGCGTGGGACGCTGAGGGAAGCGCTGGCGCAGAACTTGAAGTGTGCAAGTCTGCAGCCAAGACAGACGCTGTGATGCAAAAAGATGGTTGAGCCCATCATGTGTAGGTCAGAACACTGTGGAAAGAGTCACCTCTCAGGGTGCACTCGTGCTGCTTTCCCTCCTCCCTCCTGCCTGGACCAGATAGTGTATTTAAACTAGAAGACTTATAAAAGTGTGTATAGCATTACTCCATCCTAATCACAGCTGGAAATACAATGAACATGCATCCATGACAAAAAAAAAATGCACTGAAAACACAGCAGGCTTAAGAAGACTGTTTTTTCTGGCATCATCATGGTGATGTTCTTTTTGTTTTTGCCCATTTTCCCTTTGATGTGTTTTTTTCACAACTGACATTTTGACTTGTTGCAGTAGGGAAATAATAGTCAAGATGACGTTTTTCTAATATGGACACTTGCTCACTTTCATAGCTTACTCAGCCATCATCAGTCCTCCTGCTCTTTCTTTGCTGTGACAAGTCAAAGCTGGTGTGACGGCATGTAAACTTCTTCTTTTTTTTCCTGTGGAGATTATTTCAGTTTATTGTGATCACCTCTCAAACAACATACACTGCCATGTTTCTCCTACAAAATGAAGTCTAATCACTTATACTACACTGAAACATGAACGTTAGTTTCCAGCATCCTCACTGAATACTTTCCTGCTTCACTTTAAATGTAAGGTTATGACTAAGAAATTGTCATACTGCAGAACAGTAGGATACTTTGTAACAGTAAAAGCCATTAGGAGGAGGTTCAGTGTTTGAACATAAGAGAAAGGTAATGAGGAAGCTCTCAAAGCTCCCTGCAGTCGCTCTTTGGCAGCTGTGCTAAGATTAGCGGCTTCTGCTATTGGCCTCCTGTTTGTCCCTGCCCAGTAATCTCTGACCTATATGGGAATCCCAGAAATGCCTAAAGTGAAAGGGATCCCCTCCCTGTCGCACAACAATAATTCATCCTGTGGTGACGGGCCAAAATGCAGGACACAGTGTGTGATGCTTAACGTGAAAGGAACTGACACCAAAACTGATCTGTTTTAAAGACATTTTTAAAATATAGAACTGTTACTAAGCAGTATAAACATGATCAAAAATAAAAGAAGTAACATTTCACAGAAAAACACAAAAATGTACAGGAAACCTTCACCCAGGACTGATACAGTATACACGAAGGTGGGGAAAAAAAAGGATCACTTCTAGGTTTAGTGAGTCATGACCTTTCACTTAGATTCTTCCCATGGCACAGATGTGAGTTCACGCTCACTGTAATACTGTAATTCTGTCCATCGTTATTGTCCCAAAAAGGCTCGCTGTGCCCTCCTGGCAAATAACTTAAACAGAACTCAATCTTCCTTTTGGCATCTAGCACTTTAGGAATAGTAATGTCAAATTCAAAGATGTCCGTCTGAGGTCCTCCGAAGCGTTTCTGCAGGTACGTGCAGGGCACGTCTCTGTAGCTCTGCCACGAGTCAAAGGTGATGCGCACACGCACATCCTTCTGGTAGCTGACATTCTTAACCCTTACGGTACCCCGGAGGGCCTTCTCGCTGATACTGCAGTTCTCCAAGATGACCATGCTCTCTGCCAGCTTGGCACGAAAGGCCTGGAAATTTGCAGATGGCTGCGGGAAGCCCAGTTTGAGCTGTGTTCCTGGGCAGCAGGTGCTGACTGTGCAGCTGTAGCCATCCTCTGTCATGCTGCCCAGAGACTGCAGTGATGGCAGCAGGTCGAGGTCAGACTGCTCTTCTTTGTCGGAAAACACTCGCACGGCTGTTAGAGACAATCCCCGCGAGTCGGCAAAAACAACACGTTTGCTCTTGATTGGGAACAACACATCATCATCGCCGTCGTCCAAGTCATCGAGGAAAGGTGAGGAAGGATGGGGCGGAAAGACTTGGCTCAAGATGTCAGAGGATAAGTGCTCTGAAGCTGGAGGACGGATGCAGGATCGCTGGGGTTTCAGGATGGGAACCCAGACATGAGGACACAGTTGTTTACGCTGGTTTAAGCACAGCCTGACAGCAATCTCCAGCAGTCCGGCTGTCCGAGCCATCGACCCAAAGCCAACCACTGGCAGGACACTAACAAGAAACACACGTGGACCTCAGTACTGACTGGAAATGTGAATATATCTTTGTATATATCGCAGTTGTGTCATTACATGTTTATGCAGGGCTTTTAAGGAAGGCATCACAACGTGAAAGGGATCTGATAAAAAATATTATGGTAATTTTAATTTAACCCCTAAAGAAGTTGTGCAAGCTAATCTGCACAGTTTGTGTGTGTGTTGTGTCTGCTTACGATGTACTGGACATCTCCATGCTGGTATTCCTATGCTGAGTGATGGGAATATTGTCCTCAATGTTTGGAGTTCTGGAAAAAAGAAAAAAATCTGTCACAATTACAAGAAAATCTGTATTTAAAAAAGAAAAAAAAGTTGCACACAAAGATTGGTGTGTGACAACATGCAACAATCTTTGTGTGTAATTCTGACATTTAAAAATGTACTTACAATCTCCCATGAGTAGCGTGTTGCAGTTGTGTTGTCAGTTGTTCCCCACAGGAGAATCTGGCACAACACATTTATATCACCTCAGTTTAGATGTCATATTGTAAACTCCACCCTCTTCGCTGTCCTGACCAATCAGCTTGTGACTATTTTTCTCTTTATGTCTCCCTGTGGTACTGCATTTCAGTAAGTTTTATGTTTTCATAGGTTGCCATTACTTTGCATAAATAAATAATTTAATTATGGGAAAGAAACATATGAACACACCTAAATGTTAACCATGTGAAGTTAAATATTTGTATCGTCACCTTGCACATTCATTGTCCAGTGTTGACGATCTGCGTTACGTACATCAAAGTCTTCTTTGTGTAATTCCACTCTGCATTATGGAAACTATCCAGGTTATCCTGCCCTTTATTCTCACACCTGTTAGTGGACACAGATCCCACAGAGGCCTGGGCATGGCTCCAAACCTTTGCTATCTAGCGCCTGCTCTAAAGGAATCACTGCCCCACAGTCCATCAGCATGTGCAAACCTGAGGAGGGTCGGATTACAAACAACTCTCAGCAGGCTGGTCACTTAGCCGAAGAAGCTATTCAGGAATCAGTCCATGTGCGTATGCGAGTATATCAAGTTCCATACATATCCACACATGGAAGACCTATCTTTACTGAGACTGTTGCCACCAAACTACAGGACATTTTTATGACTTTACAATTAGTGTGAAATGATAAAAACTGTTACAAATGTCAAGATTTTACAAAGCCTAAAAAAATGGTGTAGTGTTTAATAAATGCAATTTTTTTTCACAATCATTTTATTTTTTTCTCCAACTCACATTTCAAACTATCTTCGATGCCTGAGGGAATATTTACTTTATTTTCCAACATTTTAATAGGAATAATAACAGGCCCGTTCCCCACACTGTATGCTATCAGACATCTAAATCAACTTGATTTGTTCCTGGTTTTACCAGGTCAAGGCCCACACTATATGACAGCAGTGTGATAATCAGAACATCAAGTAACATTTCTTCTCCAGGTCTTCTATGAATGCAGTTTAAGAGTTAGCAACAGAGAGTAATCAAGACGACTGTCTAAGCCCACTCTTTCAATCCCTTATTAGTTCTAATTACTGGTGAATTTATGTGAAGGCAAACAATAAGCACTGATTGCTCGCGCTGAAACACTTACATAACAATGTTCTCATAACATCTTTTAGGTTAAAGTTTAAAGCAAAGTCAAAAAGGAAACTTTCAACATGTGAAAAAGAGTAATGTCACGATGTACAACAGCTACGTGAGCATTAACAGGATAATCAATGACATTAAAGCATGTTAATTCAAGTGTGAATGTCCTTAAATCACAGCAAACAAACCCTGATCTTGCAAAGAGGCATGCACATGTAGCATGAGCACAGGATGGAAGGCATTATGATGCCAAGTGAACTGATGAAATTTCACCGTCGGGTCATCTGATGCATCCGGTTATGGAGCAGCTGAGAAATCATCCAATAACATGAATTATTTGGATGAAGCAACATGAAGAGTAATGAATAAACAGATTAGACAGAGCTGTCTTTATCAGTCACACGCACACCAACGTACTACACAACAAAGCATATGTCATGGCATGATTAAAAAGATCCAAAAATACAAACTCAGCGCTGCAAAAAACCTAGTTTAGTAAACAGGGTTCATCCACAGCTTTTAGTTTCCGCTGGCAGTGACCTCGATTGTGTGTCCCCCGCCCCCACAGAATTAAATTCTGGTCCCATGGTGCTGCAAACATCTCTATATTTACATCCCAAAAGTCAGTCCTTATTCTGGATGAAAGATGAAGATGAAGGGCATGCTTCCTGATGTGATCTCTGTGCAGTCTTTATTTCAGGAATGTCTCCTGGATCCAAAGTAACAAGCAACCTGCAACATATAAAAGACCACTATTAATTGCCCTTGACTGTTAACAGTAGTTTAGTTTAGAGATGGCAACTAAAATTTGTTGTAAACACATCATGGTGCTTTAAAATTTCAATGCTGTTTTTTATTATCTGTTGCCAAGAGACAATGAACACTCAAGAAGGGAAAAAAGGGAAAGAGAAAAAAGTAAGCACTAAAAATAAATCCAGATGTCACCGCAAAGCCATGGCTTATGTAAGAGCTGCAGAAATGAATTTTTAGATGCCTGTAGAAGAGGGTGTGAGGGCAGTATTGAGTTAATGACAAAGATGCCTCAGTCAAGGCTCACTGGTACTGACCTTTGCATTCATATCAACTGCACAGCTCCACTTGACACAAGTGGAGCTATAGTTCGATAACGCATTAGGTGTTGAGAGCCCTCTTCGAGATCCACGACATACTCTCTGATAGAAGAGACACAGTGGAGATTTTATCAGTTTAGTATCTATACAGAAAAAGGTTAGCGAATGCAAGAAGGCAACACTGTCACCTACTGGATGCCTAAATAATAGCACATCCAGAGAAATATTGGCAAACAAACCTCTGATCCTCCGTTTCAGGCTCTACCAGGATGTTTTCCTGTCTCTCTTTCACTCGCAGAAACACAAAGGAGTCCAGGCAGGGCTCAGGCACTAACATTAGGATACACAGTGGTGAATCCAGTGCAATGGTCAGTAAAAATGTCACAGCAAATGTCACCATTTGTCTGCATGGGCTAATAGTATCACCATTTTAGACACAGAACGACACCTTACCTGCTTTGAGCATATCCATAGTCTGTACATTGGCTGGCATGCGCTTCAGTGCTACAGCCTTCAGGTAGCTTTCTGTGTTGGCATAATACCTGCAAGCCAGATGTGTTGGCATGTGATTTAAAAAAAATTCCCAAGTGTTGCAAGAACCGCAGCGATTTAAACGACTTTATTCCAGTACACTCACTCTTTGGCAAAAGCAAACTCCTCAGGCGACAGCAGAGATGGCTCGCCCTCACCCCGAGACTTCTCTCTCTCCAAGACATGTGGGAAATACTTTTCAATCTAGACATGAACAGCACAAAAGGTCAGGCAGATGTCACCAACTTAGCGAAAACTCAGTTTTGTGGCGCCGACCCAACCGACCTTCTGCAGACGAGAGCGCAGGTAGCTGCTGAGAACGTAGCGGATCCTGTCTATTTCCATACGATGGATGCTGGCCTTTGCATCGCCTTTCTTCACCCGCTGCAAGTTGGACTCCTGTTGGTGACAAAACTGTCAGAAATTAAAGGGTCCTTTTATTCAGGGCTACTCAGAATGACCAGAAAAGCAACAGCCCTGGGATATGTTTGAATATCAGTGTTAATACCATCCTAATCATCTGAAATGAATGACTCTCCACATCTGGATGTATAGTAATGTAATCAAGGTCCTACTGACAGGCAGCAGCTTTAGTTAGTAGTTTGTCACAGAGCAAACCACATTGCCCTGAATTGTTTGAGATTTTATTTTGAAACCACCACATTACACATTTGACATTACCATCAAAGTCTTGATATCAATTGCAGGGCTTCCTATAGATCAATTTATCCATACTAATGAAACTAAATAGTAAGAAAACCAGCAATGAAGTGCTGATCTGTCAGGTGACAGAAGAAATTAAAACATTTTTGTAATAATTCAAGTAAACGAACAAAAAGAAGAAATCTCAGATATTCCTGAATTCAACTTCTATATTTTGAACATTTGATGTTTTTTGACCCACTGAAGAGGAAATTACTTTCTTTAAACTCACACTGAAAAATAAATTAATTTGTGTGTATAAAGTGGCATTTTGAGCTCTAGTGAATTGTAATGGGTCTTTTTCTACAATCTTTTGCTTCTTATGGGTTAAAAAAAAATTCACAGTTTAGAAGAGGTGGAATGCACCTATTTTTGTTTGTTAAGCCACTTAACACTGACCTATGAATCATCCGAGCACGAAAAGGCACCGAATTCGAAGGAAAAGCCAGTAACGCGTCTGCAAAAACAACAGACAACTTAACAAAGAAGCTATTTTAACGTGCTACTTTAGGCACTTTGCTATTGGGAGCCTGTAGCAAAAAACACATTCTTTCTTTTCACTCCTTTAGTTGAATCTATTAAAAATGCCAAAGAAAAAAAACATTTTACAGGTATGAAATTATATTTCTACACCAACAAGATGATTCTCACTGAGAATCAGCTTGGTATATCTCAGCATGTGTGCCATTAAATAAAATTGTGCAAACTAGACAAGTTTTTTTTTCCAAACAAGTCATTTTTAAGCATGGCAATGATCCCTAACACACTGCCAATGCAGTAAAAGCACACCTGGATGGGAAAAACAACAACAAAAAAAAAAAAAAAACCCCAAACATAAAAAACAAAAACAAAAAAAACCCACACAGCGGAACACTATCAGTCATGGATTGGCCTCGACATTATTGAAGCAGTGTGGGATCATCTTGACAGAGAACAGAACAAAAGGCAGCCGACATCAAAGAGCTTTTAATGTCCTTTAAGAAGTCTGGAGAACAATTCCTAAAGATTACTTAAAGAAATTACAAGAAAGCTTGCCCAAGAGAGTTCAGGCTGTGTATAACATAAAGGTGGTCATACGGAATATGGACTTTCAAGCTCATTAGACTTGTACTAACTTTGCTTTTGCCTTACATTCTGCATCAATTTCACTACATAACATAAAAAACATAAAAAAGTGAGAGGTGGCTCGAGACTTTTGCACAGTACTGAATATAGTTTTCCCTCTGCTGCATTTGAATCAGTCATGCACATTGTCATAGGTTGCAGTCCTTGGCGTTTCAGTTGCTGTTTTGCAATTCAGAAACTCAACTATAACCATGCATGCCACTGAACATTAGAAACCCACAGCAGGAGGTATTCCCCGGGTAGTTTACCATATGAGTCAGCTGCTCCATCACACACTCCACCACCTCTGATTTGTTCTCCAGCAACTCCGGTGAGAACTTCTCATTTAGCCAAGCCTGTGGGCGACACACACGGACACAACAGTGAAGACGGTGCTGAATATCTAATAGAGGTGAAGAGTCTGCACGTCAGGGGAATAATCTGGCCTACTTCTTCCAGTTTAGCGATCAGCTCGGCCGGGGTCATAACATCCTCCTGGGTGTCATCCTGGTTGAAGTCGCTGCCGTCGTCAGACAAAGCGTCCGACATGGTTTTCAGTAAAAATACAAAATTTCACCAAAACGCAGAATATCTGTTGAATTAAAAATAAATTAATAATAAAAATAGAGCAATTAAAACTGAATAATATGAGAAAAAATGTACTAATGCGACTACTACTGTCACAGCAGCCACAAGTTAGCGGAAAAACTCGTTGTTTATTCGCGCCACTGGGATTCTTCTCGCGAGATTTACATTGTGCTCGTTTCCCCGAGTTTAGCTTGTCAGGCAAGCCTTCTCGTAGGCTTAGTATAGTTTTTATTAATAATTGGACGGAGCATTCAATAAAAGACAGTAAATTCGTTTCTAGACATTCAGGAAGAATATTGATCGGGGATGTTGAGGATTTTCTGCTACAGGAGCGCAAACTTTAAAAGTTCAATGAGCCCGGTTTTTCCTGAAATGCATCACTGAGGGAATCTTCTCTACATAGCACGTGCTGTGAATACAAGCAATACACTCAAAATATTGCATGTTGCTGAAGATTGTTGTAAGTAATGCTAGAGTGGTAGAAAGTGGTGGGAGAAGCATTTCTATTGTGTTTTCAC